GGGACAGCAAAGTAGGAAGACTGCTTTAAGCCCAGGAGTTTAAAACCAGCCTGGGGCCAGGTGCAGTGGCTCAAGCCTGTAATCTCAGCACTTTGGGAGGCCGAGGCGGGCGGATCACGAGGTCAGGAGATCGAGACCATCCTCGCTAACACGGTGAAACCCCGGCTCTACTAAAAATACAAAAAAAATTAGCCGGGTGAGGTGGCGGGCGCTTGTAGTCCCACCTACTTGGGAGGCAGAGGCAGGAGAATGGCATGAACCTGGGAAGCGGAGCTTGCAGTGAGCAGAGATCACGCCACCGCACCCGGCGTTTGACACCAGCCTGGTCAACATGGCAAAATCCCGTCCTTACTAAAAAAAATACAAAAATTAGCCATGCATGGTGGTGTGCACCTGTAATCCCAGCTACTTAGGAGGCTGATGCAGGAGAATCACTTGAATCCAGGAGGCAGAGGGTGAAGTGAGCCAAGATTGCACCACTGCACTCCAGCCTGGGTGACAGAGTGAGACTCCGTCTCAAAAAAAAAAAAAAAAAGAAGAAAAAGAAAAAAAGCCTGAGGCAAGATCACTGGAGCCCAGGCTGCAGTGAACCACGATTGCACCACTGTACTCCAGCCTGAGGAACAGAGTGAATCCCTACATCTTTAAAAAACAAAGAAAAAGCCAGGCACAGCCGGGCGCGGTGGCTCACGCCTGTAATCCCAGCACTTTGGGAGGCCGAGACGGGCGGATCACAAGGTCAGGAGATCGAGACCACGGTGAAACCCCGTCTCTACTAAAAATACAAAAAATTAGCCGGGCGCGGTTGTGGGCGCCTGTAGTCCCAGCTACTCGGGAGGCTGAGGCAGGAGAATGGCATGAACCCGGGAGGCGGAGCTTGCAGTGAGCCGAGATCGCGCCACTGCACTCCAGCCTGGGCGACGGACTCCGTCTAAAACAAAAAACAAAACAAAAACAACCAACCAAAGAAAAAAAGACACTCTGAGCTCCACTATCAAGGAGCTTACAGTTCGGAGGATGGGGAAAAAAGTGACTAAAACAGCCAAGTGTAATGTGGGGTGCGAAGGACAAAACACATAAAACACACACAAACAGACACATACTTAATGGCCTAAAGCTAAATGAAAATCCAGAGAAACGTAATAAATTTTACATAACACAAATCTCAACCTATTTAAATGTTTTATTATCTCTCCCTTTCTCTTGCTATAAAAATATCTTATGGAAAATTAAATGTTCTTTTAAACATCCTTACTTTCTAATTATGTCTATCTTTTGCTCTTTTTTTTTGAGACGAAGTCTTGCTCTGCTGCCCAGGCTGGAATGCAATGGTGTGATCTCAGCTCACTGCAACTTCCGCCTCCCAGGTTCAAGCAATTCTCCTGCCTCAGCCTCCTGAGCAGCTGGAATTACAGGCATGCGCCACCAAGTCCGGCTAATTTTTGTATTTTTAGTAGAGATGGGGTTTCTCCATGTTGGTAAGGCTGGTCTTGAACTCCTGACCACGTGATCTGCCTGCCTTGGCCTCCCAAAATGCTGGGATTACAGGCGTTAGCCACTGTGCCGGACCTATCTTTTGCTCTTTAAAATTTTATTCTCCTGTGACCCACTGGTACAGGATACAGTAAAGTATAACACAGCAAGAGACATCTAACCGACTCAAGAATCATGAGATTTTCCTGACAGTATTTACACAAGAGGCCTAAATTGAAAATGCTATTAATTTAAAAGAACATGTTGGCCAGGTGTGGTGGCTCACGCCTGTCATCTCAGCACTTTCGGAGGCCGAGGTGGGAGGATCACAAGGTCAGAAGATCGAGACCACCCTGGCTAACATGGTGAAACCCTGTCTCTACTACTACTTAAAAAAAAAAAAAAAAAAAAAAATTAGCCGGGTGTGATGGCAGGCGCCTATAGCCCCAGCTACTCAGGAGGCCGAGGCAGGAGAATGGCGTGAACCCGGGAGGCGGACCTTGCAGTAAGCTGAGATCGTGCCACTACACTCTAGCCTGGGCGACAGAGTGAGACTCCGTCTCAAAAATAAAAAACAAACAAATAAATAAAAATTAACATATGCTGTGGAAAAGAACCTAAAAGCAGATATAAGAAATTCTAGATCAGAAAAACAAACAAACAAACAAAAAAACGCAGGAATCTAGTTTTTGTATACTCTTATGCAGTGAAACCTTTCCTTCCTTTAAAATACACCAGGCACTTCTTTCCAATCATGTGAATGAAACTTGGCTTAAAAGGCCGGACTTAGACATCATTCTGTTCCTTTAGCTTGTGAAACACTCATTATATACACCTAATTTACTGCTGATTTATGATTCCTCTTTTATATGTGTTTTGTCTTTCCTAATTGTAACTATGACATACAGCACTTTGATGTACAAGTATTTTTATAACCTTAATATTTAGTAGTAATTGGTACAAAGGAAATGCACAATATGTACCCCAGGTAAACAAATATATATGCTATGGTAGTTGGACAAAGGGTATAGCTATAGCTAACAAGCAAGAATACCACCTTTAAAACACAGGATACTTACGGACAAAGGAAATAAAATATTTTAAAATTAATTTATATAATTTCCAATACCAAAGTTACTTAAAGATGAAGGAAAATTAATGTTCAGAAGTTATAGTACATTTTGTGAAATAAATCTTCAGGTTACAGAAGCCTCTCAGTTAAAATTAAAAAGCTAATCATGTTGACTAGGTGTGGTGGCTCATGCTTACAATCCCAGCACTCTGGCAGGCCAAGGTGGGAGGATTGCTCAAGCCTAACAGCCAGCAGCATGGGCAATACAGCGAGACCCCATCCCTACAAAACATTGGGGGAAAAAAAAAATTTAGTAGGGCATGCCTGTGTTCCCAGCTACTTGGGAAGCTGAGGTGGGAGGATTGCTTGACCCCAGCTATTTGAAGTTGCAGAGATGGTGCCTGCCAATGTACTCCAGCCTGGGGAAAAGACTTAGAACCTGTCTCAACAAAAAAGAAAGGAAGAAAGAAAAATTTTTTAAATTACTTTTTTCTATAATAAATGTAACTATGATGTTGATAAACTAGTATAATCATATATATTTCAAACCTGGAAAAGATCTTCCAGAACAATCAAATGTGATAAAAAACAGAGATGTAGAGTTAAGAACAAAATGAGGATTTAAAATTATACAACAGTAAAATGGAACAGAAGTAGAACACCTTTTGGTGGTATGGCAGACCATGGCCGAAATTAAATCTGGGGCTTGTAACACATGAGTAAAACAATAAATAGTAGTAAAGAAACAAGGAATGACTACACTAAAGATCCTTGAAGAATAAAGTATTTAGGACTTACTTGGACCACATAGTCAAATTGTGCTTATTAATTTCTCAGTCCATCACAGAACATGATCTAAAATAGTTTCAAACCATAATTAAACATTTAAAAAAATGAGAACCTCTTTTAGGGCAGGCACACTATTTGCTCCTGCACTATCACTCTTAATCTATGATTTATGATGTATTAAAGATACTGCCATTGATTATCCTTAATATTCTTAAAAAAAGATACTGGCATTAAAATTTCATCATATCCAACTCTAAATGTGCTCAAACTTTGTCAAGGTTTAAGTCAGATTAAATAAGTAAATCCACGTCACTATTCTACCATAATGATAAGAGAATGCAGGTGAAGGAAATACTTACAGACAAGTAATCAAAGAAATGAGACATATTTTAAATGACACTGCTACTAGAAGTATCATGTGCCCCATAATAAAGCCAAGAAAAAAAAATTTCTATTGTTCAGAGATAAACAAAGAAATAGAGTAGGTAAAAACGCAGTGTATCGTAACTGAAATTAGCTGTATCAAAGAATCATAAGAAACTAACCTTGCCTCAGGTTTCTCAAAATATTACTACATTCCTCAAGGTACCACAGACAGAAAAGTTAAATTAATTAACAGGTATCACTACACCTTCATTTTCTGATCTTTCTTCCTTTCAGAAGCCAACCTCTAACAAGGCATTCCCAGAACCACAAAAAGGTAAAAAAAAAAAAAAAAAAAAAAAAAAAAAAAAGCTTTGTGATTTTTAGTACTTGGCTTTTCCATCCCTGGGTTAACCATATATATATATATATATTTTTTGAGACGGAGTTTCGCTCGTTGCCCAGGCTAGAGTACAGTGGCACAATGATGGCTCACTGCAGTCTCAACCTCCTGGCTCAAGGGATCCTCCTACCTCAAGGGATCCTCCTGCCTCACCCCACTGATACCCCTGTTCCCCACCACCTGCACCACAACACCTGGCTAATTTTTAAATTTTTCGTAAACACAGGGTCTCACTATGTTACCCAGGATGGTCTCAAACTTCTGGCCTTAAATGACCCTCCCACCTCAGCCTCACAAAGTCCTGGGATTACAGGCTTCAGCCACTGTGCCCGGCCCATATTATATTTGTGTGTTTGTTTTTTTGGAGACAGGGTCTTACTCTTGTCATCCAGGCTGGAGTGCAGTGGCAGGATCACGGCCCACTGCAGCTCACTGCAGTCTCGACCTTTTGAGCTCAAGCAACACTCCTACATACCTGGGACCACAGGCATGTACCACCATACCCAGAAAATTTTTAAAATTTTTGTCCAGACGAGGTCTTGTTATGCTGCCTAGGCTGGTCTGGAACTCCTGGGCTCAAGTGATCCACTTACCTCGGCCTCCTGAAGTGCTGGGATTACAGGCGTGAGCCATTGTGCCATAGTCCATATTTTTAACTAGAATATTTATAGTCAAGAATTTAACAGTCCAGTCTCCTCTTTCTCCCAAAAGATAACCTATAAGTGGCCTTCCTGTACCCACCAATACAAACAGAACCTGCTTTGCTTCATGATAAAAGCAATAAGCTCCATTAGAGCAAAATATACTAAATATTCATTATATGCCCCCTCAAACAACTATAATAAAAATGCCAGGAATAACAAAATTCTGAATTTATAATTCTTTAATATATTTTCCTACCTTCACACTGGTTCCTTGGAAGAATCTTCCACCTTGTTTTTATCACATTTTCCAAAATTTGTAGTCCATAATACTGAAAATTGGAGAATAGAAGCATGTGAATATATTGCTATACAGGACTGGCAACTCTCAGGATTCACAAATGGACAGACATTCACACATTTACATCTAAAGTTTCAAAAACATTATGCTACCAAGTTTAATTACATATATTAAACAAGTATCTATTCACCCATATACTGAGTTTTCATGCATTTTCCTCATTTTATTGTTTACTACTCTATATAACGTCCTGCTGTTTATACATGCTCACACCAGGAGGAAGAACCAAATAAAAAGCCCTTTAGCAGCCAAATAGGCTTATCTGTCGAAGGAAAAGTAGCAGCCAGATACGAATTCACAGCATAAATGACTGCTCATAGGCTCACGTACTTTAACACGAACAGGCTCCTAAGAATTTAGCAGTTTGGATGCTATCAAGCTTCCTACCATCCTCTAGGAGTTACAAGCTTTTGGCCAAATATTAAAGTATTGTCACAGATACTTTCTATAAAAAGTGTTTACAAGCATCACTGGTGTGTTACTTAAGGAGCAGCAAGACAACCCATGGGTTTATTTTATATTTTAACCCCACCCTTATAGTTGCTATTTCTACTAATTTAAAGATAAACTTTTGTGCACAGTCAAAATAATCACAAATGCATGTTGCAATCTGTATCTACCTTTCAGGTATTTCTTCCTAAATACTAAAAGTTATAACTAAAAGTATAAAAAATTAAAAAAGAGATACCACTTCCAAGCCATTTTGTCCCTCCTGCTGATTACTCACTCTAAATAGTCAACAATATTTATAATAATTTATAAAGCTCCAGGAGTTACTACCTGAATTACTATGACCAATTAGTGTGGATAGGCAGGAGGAAGAAAAGGGACAAAACTGTTGTGGTACATTTCAACTGAGAGAATTAGGGAAGAATCAGCTATAATACCTGAAAGGTAAACTCATTCATATATAGACATATAACCTCAGATTGCAAGTTTTGGCTGAGAATAAGAGTTCATCTTTAAAATGGTTAGTCATTACACAATAAAATAGGAGCATTAGTATTTCAACCAAAGGGATCATGTGAATGCTCATTTTATCCAAAGCACAATATAGACTGTCCCAAACTACATTGTGCTCAAACAGTGAATGTTTTTGCTGTTTTCTTTCATTTTAACATTTCACACTTTTCAGGAAAATTTTGCCATTTCAACTAAAGTACTACATTTGCAAACATTCCTTAAAAACTTTCAAAATCAAAACAAGGCCAAAGCAAAATTCTAAAATTACAAATTTGATGCTATTACAATGTTTCATAATCAGCAGTAAATAGCGATTTTTCTAACCTGTTCATTTTTAAAAACACATCTATTTATTATGTCTAGGTCTGAGAAATATGTAAATAAGCAAAAAAGAGAATTTTCCAAATGCCTGAAGTTCTTAATTAGCTTTTAAAACATACTACCCTAAACAATTTTATAGGCACAAAATCAGATTGTCAAGACTCAGTAAGTCAAAGTAACGCACTGCTTACAATGTATCCTCTTGTCAAAAATCAATTAAAAAGCCTTTAAAACACTAAGAAACAAAACCCACCATATAGTTAGAAATAAAAATCTTAAAGATAACTTCATCTTATTTAACCAAACTTTTTGTTTACGTATTTATTGGAAAGACACTGTCACCTAAAGTTACTATTTACTAACCTGTAGTTATTTTCTACAACTGCATAAAGGTAGCATAAGCTTGATGAAGATACAATTCATCTTTCTGCCAAGTTGAAGCAGGGAGCCCAATAAAAGCTTTGCCCAGGTTAGGTCAGAGGAATACATCTGTTACCATAATATCCTAAAATCCAATCTCTCCCAGACATAAAGACTTGGCCTATGAAACTGAAACAAAGAAAACTTACATTCCTTTGAAAAAATGTTATTTGGCGCCAGGCAAAGTGGCCCTCGCCTGTAATCCCAACACTTTGGGGAGGCCAAGGTGGGAGGGCCAGGAGCTCAAGATCAGCCTGAGCAACACAGGGAGACCCCGCCTCTATAAAAAAAATTGGTAAGTTAGCGAGGCATGGTGGCATGCACCTGTAGCCCTAGCTACTCAGAAAGCTAGGCAGAATGTCACTTAAGCCCAGGAGTTTGAGGTTACGGTGAGCTATAATCACACCACTCCACTCCAGCCTGGGCAACAGAGGTCATGTCTCTTCAAATAACTTTTTTTTTTTTTAGTATTTTTGCTCAAAATCTGAAGTGACAGTCAAATCTGAAAGCAAATGATCAATCACTATGATCCAAACATTCCAAAGAATTATACTTTTGCATTACATCTCAGAACTTGAGAAATCCACTGCTGAGTTATGAAGATGAGGGACAGATAACAGCAAAGACTAAATGAAAAGATAAATGCATGAAATGATCCCTATGGTAGAAATTTCTACTGAGCCCTTAGAAATACTTATTTTATGCATCGAATTCCCCTTTCCCCTCCCACCGCCCATGAAACAAAAACAATTGATGAACAGAATTCAGTTAAAGGGAATCAAAAGGGTAGACCTTGTGGAGGCCTGCCGTCAAAGCCTAGCTGTGTCAGTTGCACAGGAAGACACCCTTTTTCTTCCTATTACAAGCAATCAACATAATGGAACATTATGATTAATATCAGGTAGTGTTAACATCTTTAAAGAAAAAAAAATGATTGCATAAAAGCCAAATGTCATAGTGCATAAATTTAGCACCAAATCATTTGTAATTTATGTAAATTGAAGAATTCTTTACCTGTTGCTTTCTTTCTGTTCCTCTAATCATCTCATTTTTCACAAGACAAATTTGAGTTTTTAAAAATACTGTTGATAAATCAACTTAAACATTAGTAATGTCTGTCAGTATAAAAAGCAAAATTTACCAGGCAAGCAAACAGGCAAACACTGTTATGTTACTTAAGGTTAGCACTTTGAGGAAGTTCTGGACTGTATTTTTGACCTAAAATTTACAAGCTGTCAAAACTAATTAATATTTTAAAACTGTTAATTAACAAAGTCTGGTTTCAGAAACAGATGTGAATATGGCTATCTTCTGTTTTAACACAATGTATATCAAGTGGAAACCTTTCGTGTATTAAACAGAATGCCATAGTATTTTATTACTTTAAGGCAGTTTAAAGAGAAGTGTGAATCATCAAGCCTAAAACAGACAAAACACATTTTGATCAACCCTTCTGTTCAAACTTAAAAAAGGACCCGAATTATAACATTTTCCATTGTAAATAAAAACTGAGTGCTGTCCCATTAGAAGCCCAATGCCATGGAGTAGGGTTTTAAGCTGTCCACACAACTTGGTGTCAGAGGTGCCTGGCCTGTATTATATTGATTACTTGCCCAAAATAATTCCTTAATGTTATGTTTCATCTCTGAATAACATTCAGAATTTATGCTACTTAGACCTGTATACATATTCTAAAAAGAAAAAAACAAAATCAGACAACCAAAAAAGCCACCTTGCATACTAGTCCCATTACAAAACTTCATTCATAATTCTTAGGACTATTTGCAAGAATTAATTATATGCTTAACACTAAATTTTGAAACAAATTAACAATATAAAATGATTTGAGATAACAAATGCTAATACTAAAAATGAGATACCTTCCTCAAAGTTTATGACTGGAAGAAAAGAAATAACAGATTTTAAAACCACCACTTGCTTACTTTCGTATTCATATTCTGAGAAAATTCCAAAATTGTGTCGACTCTTGTCCAAGCATCAGGATGCTCCTTTAAATGTGTCAGTACTTCTTGAGCCATTCTTTGCTAAAATATTATAAAAAAAAAATTAAGCTAATGTGTTCTTTTGAAGCATTCATTAAAATGAAAACTACTGAGCAAGGCACAAATTCTAATTGGACAGAGATTCTATCATCAATGTTCAGAAATATTCAAAATTTAGACTTTACAGAAATAGAAATAAAATTATTATTATTATTATTATTTTTTTTTTGAGACAGAGTCTCGCTTAGTCGCCCAGGCTGGAGTGCAGTGGCGCGATCTCGGCTCACTGCAAGCTCCGCCTCCCGGGTTCACGCCATTCTCCTGCCTCAGCCTCCCGAGTAGCTGGGACTACAGGCGCCCGCCGCCTCGCCCGGCTAATTTTTTGCATTTTTAGTAGAGACGGGGTTTCACAGTGTTAGCCAGGATGGTCTCGATCTCCTGACCTTGTGATCCGCCCGCCTCGGCCTCCCAAAGTGCTGGGATTACAGGCGTGAGCCACCGCGCCCGGCCAATAAAATTATTTAAACATGACTCCTAATCTTTTTTTTTTTTTTTTTGAGACAGTCTTGCTTTATCGCCCACGCTGGACTGCAGTGGTACGATCTCAGCTCACTGCAGCCTCTGCCTCCTGAGTTCAAGCGATTCTCCTACCTCAGCCTCCCCAGTAGCTGGGATTACAGGCGGGTGCCACCACAGCCAGCTAATTTTTGTATTTTTAGTAGAGCTGGGGTTTCACCATGTTGGCCAGGCTGGTCTTGAACTCCTGACCTCAGGTGATCCGCCTGCCTCGGCCTCCCAAAGTGCTGCGATTACAGGAGTGAGCCACCATGCCCAGCCAACTCCTAATCTTTAAAGGTGCAAATATTTTACTTTTTTGAAACAGAGTAACATTTTTGGGAGTAAATCTGGTTTATTTTTTAGTCTCAAAACTGCACTGGATTTCAACCAAAGATCTATTCTGAAGCAAATGAGTTATCAGCATTTAAATCAACCAAAAACAACATAAAAATTCTTATCTAGGCCGGTTGCAGTGGTTCATGCCTGTACTCTCAATACTTTGGGAGACTGAGGCAGGAGGATCACTTGAGGTCAGGAGTTCAAGACCAGCTGGCCAGCCTAGGAGACAGGCAATGTAATGAGGCCATGACTCTCCAAAAATGAAAAAAAAAAAAAAAAAAAAAAAAAAAAAAAAAAAGCTGCGCATGGTGGCTTGCACCTGTAGTCCTAGCTACTCAGGAGGCTGAGGTGGGAGGATCACTTGAGCCCTGGAAATCAAGGCTGCACTGAGCTATCATGGTGCCACTGCACTTCAGCCTGGTGACAGAGCAGAGACTCTGCCTCTAGAAAAACAAAAAAATCACATCTACTTAGATAAGTTATGTAATGTAGCAGGACACTCCGCTTTACAAGAGTTACCAAGAGCTCTCTAACTACAAAAATACATTTCATAGAAAGACTACTGAAAACTAGGTCTAAGTAAGACCACAAATCCCAAATACTTACATACCCTTTGAGCTCTTTAAAAAGGGCTCTTAAAATTTATTGTAACCATCCTTTCTCCATTTTGAAATTTCACTAATTTCATATATAAAATATTTGTTTTGGAAACTATTTCCATTTTTCTTTTTCTTTTTTTTTTTTTTTTGAGACGGAGTCTCGCTATGTCGCCCAGGCTGGAGTGCAGTGGCCGGATCTCAGCTCACTGCAAGCTCCGCCTCCCGGGTTTACACCATTCTCCTGCCTCAGCCTCCCGAGTAGCTGGGACTACAGGCGCCCGCCACCTCGCCCGGCTATTTTTTTGTATTTTTTAAGTAGAGACGGGGTTTCACCATGTTAGCCAGGATGGTCTCGATCTCCTGACCTTGCGATCCGCCCGTCTCGGCCTCCCAAAGTGCTGGGATTACAGGCTTGAGCCACCGTGCCCGGCCTTTATTTTCATATTTTTAACATGCAAACCCAGAAATACTAATCTATGTAGCCATCACCATGTGCTTGTATCAGTTTTTCTTTGAACATAAAATAACTGAAGTTTATGAAAGTCATCTTTGTGCCTTTCCCTAGTGCCATTTCCTTCCTTTGTTCCTTCTTTTTACTCTCTCTCTCTCTTTTTTTTTTTTACTTGAAGTCTCACTCTGTCACCGAGGCTGGAGTGCAATGGCAAGATCTCAACTCACTGCAACCTCCACCTCCAGGGTTCAAGCAATTCTCCTGCCTCAGCCTCTCGAGTAGCTGGGACTACAGGCACGTGCCACCACGCCTGGCTAATTTTTGTATTTTCAGTAGAGACAGGGTTTCACCCTGTTGGCCAGGCTGGTCTCAAACTCCTCACCTCGTGATCTGCCCGCCTCAGCCTCCCAAACTGCTGGGAGTACACCTTTGTTCCTTCTTTAAAAAGTAATGGCTTTCATAAACTTGGTCTGTCTTTTCCTGTCCTCATTTTCATGGCATGTGTGTAAATTTCATGAATACGGTTGTATGGCTACCAAATTTTATGTTTATACTTAAAAAATCTTTCAGGCTGGGCACAGTGGGTCACGCCTGTAATCCCTGCACTTTGGGAGGCCGAGGTGGGCGGATCACGAGGTCAGGAGTTCAAGACCAGCCTGACCAATATGGCGAAACCCCATCTCTACTAAAAACACAAAAATTAGCTGGGCATGGTGGCGTGCGCCTATAGTCCCAGCCACTCGGGAGGCTGAGGCAGGAGAATCGCTTGAACCCGGGAGCGGAGGTTGCAGTGAGCCAAGATTGTCCCAGTGCACTCCAACCTGGGTGACTGAGACTCCCTCTCCAAAACAAAACAAAACAAAACAAAACAAAACAAAAGAAACTTTTCTGCAATTAGTTTTTTCCATTTGACAGTTTTTAAGATCCAGCCATGTCAACATTTTATATAGTTTTTTCATTTCAATAAGTTTTTCATACAACATTAACGTATTTTTACCAAACACCTTTTAATTCTACTGACAAAAAGCAATGGCTTAATCCTTTTCATTTTTGTATCTTTAAAGGTTTTTTTAATAACTCAATTAGATCCTTCCTATTACCTATTTCTATTAAAAGTTGTAAGCAAAAAGTTTGGGCCAGGTGTGGTGGCTCATGTCTGTAATCCCAGGAGTTCAAGATCAGCTTGGGAAACAAAGAAAAAATAATGAGCCAGGTGTGGTGGGACATGCACTTATGGTCCCAGCTACTCAGGAGGCTGAGGTGGGAAGATTGAGCCTGGGAGGTCAAGGCTGCAGTGAGCTGTGATCATGCCATTGTGCTCCAGCCTGTATGACAGAGCAAGAAAAAGGTTTGATGACTTTAAAATCTGTCAATTACCTTTCTCTTATATTTTACTTTATCATGGGTTTAATTATGTGGTTATAAACAACAAAGCATCAAAAACAGGGTAGGAAGCACTCTTACAACCATTTCCGACAAAGATACCTTATAATCTTTAGCCTGACTTTTATTCTAGTCTTTTTTAAAAAATCGTATGCTTGGTAGGGCACCATGGCTCAGACCTGTAATCCTAGCACTTTGGGAAGCCGAGTGGGAGGATCACAAGGTCAGGAGTTCAAGACCAGCCTGGCCAACATGGTGAAACCCCATCTCTACTAAAAATTCAAAAATTAGCTGGGTATGGTGGGGCGTGCCTGTAATCCCAGTTACTCGGGAGGCTAGGCAGGAGAACTGCTTGAACCAGGACCCAGAAGGCAGAGGTTGTGGTGAGCTGAGATCACACCACTGCACTCCAGCCTGGGCTACAGAGTAAGATTCTGTCTCATTAAAAAAAAGAAAGAAAGAAAGAGAGAGAGAAATCATATGCTTATCCTGGCGTTGATGCTTTATTTTAACCACGATCTTTTCCTCAGGTAGTAAACACAATACCACATTCATGACTATCCCATACACAATCAGCAAAACACACCGCTACACACTCAATAACTTATATGGTTGTTCTCTACCCAGAAACCCACCAGAACCACTGTGGTCACCTGAAAAGATCAGATGCCTGCTTCCATTGTGAGTCTGTGGTTAGAAGAGTTAATGTGTATATTTTAAAATACAATTATACACATTTTTATTTGATTTCATTAAAGGACTGATGGGTATAATGTGTCATATGAGAAATTATAGAAGGCAGAAAGAATAATGATCTGAGTTATCTAGGGCCAAAGCACATTTTAGCAGTGTTTTGATCTTCTCCCTGAGAATATCTAGCTAGATAACCTTATCTAACTAGAGGAAAAGTTGTATCAAAGATCCTCACACAGTAAAAGTTACTTGGTCAAGTTGCCATTTTGTCAGATGCTTTGAAGTGATAAGCATTCTACACAGAATCAAATACTTCCCACACTATCACCACTCACTTCAATCTCTACATAAATCATGTTCTTTCCTGTTAGTTGTAATTTTACTCTCCGATGTTACTTCTAGTATTTGCATTCTAATGTATTCTAATCCCACCATTCTTACATAATGTTCTTTATAAACTTAAAACCCCAGTAGGGGTTTAAAAAAAAAGACACAAAAGCAAACTAAAGAGAGAGAAAACCTAGCATCTCCCTTGTGCTACTGAGTGGTGAAAGCGTTTTAGTTGCTAAGCAATAGAGTTCAAGATCTTTAACAGAACACAATATTGGAGACAACATCCAACTCTTTCTGTATCTTTTTTCTAGGTGTCTACTTGGCTAAAAATAGAAAAATACTTGTAACAGAGAGTAGTCCTAATGTAACAGTGCTAAATAGCCTACTATACTAATCATGTATGCAAAAGTTGTCTACAGATTAAAAGTCACCCTTGTAAATAATTTCTTCTCCTCCCCAAGTTACACATTCCTTTAAAAAAAAAAAAAAAGGCTACCTACAGCTTTCTTCCCAGTTGACTTTAACAGCTTAATTAGTATAATAAATTTTTCTTGTCATTATTAGTGCATGATATTTTATGAGTAGCAAAATTTTTTTTTTTAATTTCAAGCAATGAGTATCACATATGCTAAATCATTTTCATTATACTGCTAAATGTATAACCTTTAAACAGAGTGCCTTCTACCTACCAAGCACTGTAATAGGTGCTTTATAAACCTCATCATTACTACCCTCCAATCTCTTGCAGGGGAGGTCACATTTGTACATGGGACTTAAGCAATGACTAGAGAGAGCTTCCAGGAAACAAATTAAGACATCTAACACTAAAAACATGTTTTCTACCACAGCAGCTCTCTGCTACTACTCCTTTTCCTTTGAAATAAGACCCCCAAGGAGGTGGTAAACAAAAAGTAGACTGAACTAACAACACAGGACTTTTAGAGACCAAAAGGACTCCTTAACCAGCTTTAAGCTCTAAATCTTCATTTATAATACAATGTTTGCTAGTTATTTTTACGCAACTGATTGTCACATGATCTATTAAGTACTGCAGACAAAATCCTTTTACTTTGGCAAAGTTAACCTATTGTCCTTATAAAGAAAAAAAGGAAAGTTAACCTATTGTCCTTATAAACAAACAAAAAAAAATTTAGAAACTTTTTTTTTTTTTTTTTGAGACGGAGTCTCGCTTTGTCACCCAGGCTGGAGTGCAGTGGCCGGATCTCAGCTCACTGCAAGCTTCGCCTCCCGGGTTCACGCCATTCTCCTGCCTCAGCCTCCCGAGTAGCTGGGACTACAGGTGCCTGCCACCTCGCCCGGCTAGTTTTTTGTATTTTTTAATAGAGATGGGGTTTCACCGGGTTAGCCAGGATGGTCTCGATCTCCTGACCTCATGATCCGCCCATCTCGGCCTCCCAAAGTGCTGGGATTACAGGCTTGAGCCACCGCACCCAGCCAGAAACACTTTTCTTAATCTACTTTTTATTAAGAAGTCAATTTTAAAACAAACCATTAAATTTCTTAATACTATGAAACATTATTAAAAGCAGTATTACTGTAATATATTCTCAATTATAAAAATTACCACTAATTCTGTTATAAGCCATGAAGAACACTGCTCTGTTGGTTTATTTATCATACCTTTAGATGTAGTGAACTACCTTAGTGCAAAGATTAAATAGTATTAGTAGCTGAATCTATGTGGAAAAAATTAAATGCCTTTTTCCCCAATGGCTACAGACCTGTGCTTCCAATATTATATTCAAAATTGAACCCAACCTTACTTTCATAGCTTCCTCCAAAAGCAGCTGTTTTCTATGCATCCATGCTAGAAGAAATGAAGCTTAAAGCTTCATATTGAATGTACAGCATGAGTAACAACTAAATGACAGGGATAATAAATACTGACGGATAATTTTTTCAAGAATGCTTTTGGAGATAAAGTACTGATCAAAACGCCCTAAGAGTATAAACCCGGACTAACAAGCTTACAGAATCACTGCAGAGTAATGTTTTCTGCTTTTAGAGCTTCCACAGCCCTTTTTCAAGTTTCCACTATAGTGAAAGCAGTATTGTTAGATTTCACAAGGGAATGGAAACATTTATACATGATGCTTTTTGGACTACCTATAAAAGATAGTACTATATGCATCTTACATGTTTTCAAAAAGTGTAATGGCAGTCAGTTTCTTAATTATGCAAATACAAATATCTTGACAATATAAGTAACCTCGTATCTATTAGCTGAACATTCATCTAACCAGAAATCTACTGTTCTGGCAACAAAACTACCTTAAAAGATTTCTGGACAGGCGTGGTGGCTCATGCCTGTAATCCCCACACTTTGGGAGGGCAAGGCAGGCGGATCACGAGGTCAGGAGATGGAGACCATCCTGGCCAATATGAAACCCATCTCTACCAAAATACAAAAAATTAGCTGGGCGTGGTAGTGCGCCGGTAGTCCCAGCTACTCGGGAGGCCGAGGCAGGAGAATTGCTTGAATCTGGGAAGCGGAGGTTGCAGTGAACCAAGATTGTGCCACTGCACTCAAGCCTGGTGACAGTACGAGACTCCATCTTAAAAAAAAAAAAAACAAAAAAAAAGATTTCTGACCCAACTGCAGAACTTTTTACTCATTCAAAAACATGTTTGGGCTGGCGTAAGGTGGCTCATGCCTGTAATCCCAGCACTTTGGGAGGCCGAGGCAGGTGCATCACCTGAGGTCAGGAGTTCCAAGACCAGCCTGGCCAACATGGTGAAACCCCGTCTCTACTAAAAATACAAAAATTAGCCAGGCATAGTGGCGTGCGTCTGTAATCCCAGCTAGCAGGGAGGCTGAGGCAAGACAATCACTTGAACCCAGGAGGCAGGGGTTGCAGTGAGCCAAGATCATGCCACTGCACTCCTGCCTGGGACACAGAGCAAGACTCTGTCTCAAAAAAAAAAACAAAAAAAAAGTTTGGCCCCACAGGTAAAAAATCAAGTTTTTTTTTCTTGTGACACATACAATTTAAAATTTTACACACATTTCTGTTTCACCTTTTCGTTGGGTTCAAAAAAGCGAAAAACTTAAACTGATCAAAGCATGGTTTATGTTCAAGATAATTCCCTACATTAACAGTACCACTTAGAAAAGTGTATGAAATTCAACTAACATAAAAATACTTGGTATTCCTGTTTTTAATTAAACAAACATGTCTGTGAAGTACTTCTGTAAATGTTTTAAAAGTAGAAGAATCATATTAGCTCCAAACATATTAAGTATATATAAAAGTACAGAGAACCTTTAATACCTACAAAGTATTTAATAACATTCGGCTCTTAAGGACAGAACAAGTATAAGAATAGTATTTCAAAACAACCCAATGTAACCATATCAAACATTATGCAATTTTTTTCTCCAAACCAATTCTCATTATGGTTAATATAGAATTCCAAATTAACACAAACTATGGAATATCTTTTTTAAAGGTGATAATTTAAAATTTTATTCTAAACCCAACAACTCTGTTACACTGTCAAAATGTTATAAAGTTTTCGTTGGCTACTTTACCTGGGCTCCTTCTCCATGGTATAAGCAATTCACCACATTATCTAATAAGTTGATATCCAGTTTTTGGCTGAAATCGAGCAGCTGACGAGCTGCATGGTCTGCTAACATTGTCATAATTGCTGGCATAGATTACTGAAAATAAAGAAAAAACATTGAAGCTGCCTATGAAGTTTTGGAATTATCAGAAACTTCCTACAAGTTATTTTACTTCAACCATGTTATTACAAATATTTTAATGAATACTTTAGAGACTTTAATTACAAAAAACAGAAAGTAAAAGCCAGTAACATAAGCTGAAATTACTTAGCTATTTGATAATTACATAAATTATTATGGTCCATTCAACTTTTCTAGTGTTTTGTTTATACACCAGAAAGACTCCCCTATTCTACTAACATTTATAAAGTATGCTAACCTATTATTTAAATGCATACACTATTAGGATTTTATGGTCCTAAAACATGATACAGTTCAGTATCTTGATGTCCAAACTTCTTAAGCAAGTAGGATTAAGTTCAAGTGAATGTGTTTTTCTTTTCTTCCCAACTAGGGTCTTCTGGATAACTCAGTAAAAGCTCACTTCACATTATCTTAACTTTATAAAAATAATTCTATAAAGACAGAATGGGCTGAGCGCAGTGGCTCACACCTGTAATCCCAGCACTTTGGGAGGCCGAGGTGGGCGGATCACTTGAGGTCAAGAGTTCCAGACCAGCCTGGCCAACAATGGCAAAACCCCATCTCTACTAAAAATAGAAAAATTAGTCAGGCGTGGAGGCAGGCGCCTGTAATCCCAGCTACTCAGGAGGCTGAGGCAGGAGAACTGCTTGAACCCAGGAGATGGAGGTTGCAGTGAGCCAAGATGCGTCACCCCACTCCAGCCTGGGCAACAGAATTGAGACTCCATCTCAAAAAACAAACAAAAAAAGACAGAATGACGTTAAAAATCAAAATGTGGATATACAGTAATTCCTATCGTCTACAGCAATGGTTAGCAGGAACCACAAGTCTAACATATCTTGGTATAAATCCCCTTAGCCTCTACAGAAATAACTTAGTTTCTACACTCAAACCATTCAAATTGTTTCAACCCTCAATGAATTGGGGGATTGAAATTACATCTACAATCATATTTACTGAATATATAATCTAGGAAAAAAAACTTTACGGGCAATATGCCTAACAAGATTCATTGGCAAGTTAAAAGCTGTAAAAGCCTGCCCATTCCCAAATAAAAAAGAATTCTAAGAGAAAAATGAGCTACTTCGCCAAAATATGTACTGGTTAAAACCTACTAGTTCATATGCAACGCTATCCTTTTAAGAGGATTCTACTCTAAGATGCTGGCACACATCCAACTTTTTGTTGCCCAGAATTATAAAAAATATCTTTCCTCTGCTTTTCTTCAAAGCCAATGCCACTCAAACCTAACTGGTTAAGTCAGTAGTCCTTAACCTTTTTTGGGGTCTAAGATGCCTGAGACTCTGAGGAACCAATAGCTCTAACCTAGTTTTTAAAAACTCATGATTCTGTATACAATTGTAGAGGATTCAGGACATCCTGAAAGCCATCCATGGCACCCCCGGTTTAGTGTATTTAGAACTAACAAGGTCAGATCTCCGCTTCTTCCCATTTTAGGAACTTTCATGGACCAGAAAATGAGTAGCTAATTTCTTTACACTGTATTTGGACAAACTAGCTTGGCAGGGGGGAAAAAAGGCGTTAATTCCTGGCTATTTTATAACAGCTTAAAAATGTCCATAATAATGGCAGCAATTTCAATTTTAATGCAAATGTCTCATTTAAATATAACGTCTGTTACAACAGATTAGAACTCCAAAAAATGAGTCACCTATGACTGACATGATGTAAAAATAATGTGAAACTCAAGAAATTAGGAGTTCAAGAATTGGTCCATTATTGACAAAACTGATGAGACTTCAAAATATTTTGTAGTAGGCATTAAACAAACTTTTTTAAACAGCAGGATACTTGTTACACACCACAAAAAAAACCCTTAAGATCTAAAAACTGAGAGGAAATATATATTCCACAAATGAATGTGTAAACTCTCCACCTTCAACTACTATAAAATTTAAAAGATCAGAACAATCTTAATTATTTGAGGCTTAAAAGCAATGTCCACAAAGCATCAAGATCTACGTATCAGAAGTTTTCAAATATTTCGGTTAATTATTGAACAAACTTTTCACCTATTTACTCCTACAATAGTTTAATGCCAAAACAAAAAAGGATTAAGAAAATGACTCTTCCAAGTTTCACTTTCAAATACACTGTCCTTATAGAATTCTCCGAACTAGACTGATGTGAAAAACGAGATTTAGAATAGAAGGATTTAAATACAGTAGTTTGCCATCCTTAGAACTAGCGGCTGTCTTCGAAATGACCTACCTATTCTTGAACTGTACATAGTACAGAAATGGCGGCTTTGTGGTCAATGCCAAGCACATTTAGTCCCCCAAACCAAGCCGCTTCCAAAACATTCTTTCCACTAACAGCAGCGTCCCACACTTAAGATATACAATCAGACAGCAAACAAGTCAAAGAGGGAGAGGTGTAACCACGAACGCTCATTCCCGTTGGGCTCTTCAATCCTAAAATCCACTCACTGGATAACATACACTAGGGATTATCCAGCTTAATGGATAATGTTGTGACTCTACAAGTGACCCCCAATGCCAGTTCCTATCCAAAACCCAGGAAATCATAACCGTTGCTTAATAACTTCACACTAGGTGAAAAAAAAAAACAAGTCGCTACAAGGCGAAAGACTGACTGCTCCTTAGGTGTGTGGGCAACCGCCTGCTTCATTCAGGAGAAACACACCTCACTAGGGCCCGCCCTCCCCTGGCTTCCCACCCGAACCGATTTGCAGCCCTTCTAACTATAGCACACGGGAGCACGCACTCACCCCGCCCATACTCGGAGGAGGCATTTAGACCAGGCGCCTTAAGTTCAACGCCCCTTTCTCTATGCAGCATGGCCTCGGCGTGATCAGAGGAGGTCCGGGCTGAGCCAGTAATGAATGCTTCCTCTACTACACCACTTCCTCCCACCCAACCCAAACTCAGACATCGGAATGAAGGAGAATCAGGGCATCCTCCACTGTACGAGGCCACCAGTAAATGGTTTAACCAACTTATCACACACAACCCCCTGAAAAGGAACTACAAGACGGAATCCCATGTGCAGGCCCCTGAAAAATTCATCTTTCCTACTTCACATGCCACTCTGCAAAAAACCGGAGAGCTTTCGAGTTTCCTTGCTGGAGGAACAGGGAGTCGGCAGCCCCTCCCTCCCCCATCCCAAGCTCTCCACCGAGGGGGCCACGTGATGCAGGCGGACGTTTCAATGCTGCTGCACTAAATATTTCTGGAAACTTCCACTCCTAATAATTTACAGAGATGTTCCTGAAATCACCCCAACTTCTCCCCAGCCCGTGGGGCTGGGGAAGCCCTTCCACCCCGCGCGGGGCCCCGTTTCACTATCACGCTCCTCGCCTTCCTCCACCGCCACCCGCACACGCGAATGACCCAGCAAGCGCTCCCCTCCCGCGGCCGCCTCCCCGCCTCCATCCCCCAGCGGCAAAAGCGGCTCCATTCAATCGCAGGCTCCGCTGTGGGCCCGGCGCGCCCCCGGCCCGCCCGCCGCCTCCTGGGCTCGCTTCCCGCGACCGCCGCGCCCCACGCTGGCCTCCTCCCGCCCGGCCGCGCCGCCGCCCGACCCTCGGCCCCAAAGACACAGTCGACTTACCCAGAGATTGAACCAACTGCTCCTTCCTTCCTTGTCGGGGGATTAGGGCCAGGGAAGGTGGGGAGGGGGAGAGGGGACGAATCAAGGTGGGTTTCACAGTTTTCCCACCTTAAAAAAAGAAATTAAAAAAACGGAGAGGAAAAGGGCAAAAAGAGCTCAATAATATTTACTATTTCAGGGACGCTTCCCCCCAACACACACACCCACCCGCCCCCCAAAAAAGAAGGGGAATTAATCTGGGGAATAAATGCTCCCGCCCGGCTGGGGAGTGAGGGAAGGGGGAGGGAACCGGGTCAAGTCCCAAAGATTCAGCCCCAGGGGGACCCTCCAGCCACAGGCAGCAGCAGAAGCGGCAGGAGTAGGGGGTGTAGAGTCCACACGGCCGGGGGGACGCTCTGCTGCCAGTTGCAGTCCGACTCCCCCCTACCAAAACACGGCTCCCTCTCTCACGCGGCTCCGGCGCTGGGCCCCCCCCAGGCTCGCCTAAACTTTCCCCCCTTCTCTTGCTCCTCAGCGACTGGTGGTTCCCCCCTCCCCCTCTGGGTGGTTGCACGGACTGCAGCAGCAAAGACTGGAACAGGCACCGCCGCCGGGGCTGTAGCTACTGTTGCTCTTGCTGATGCTGTAGCTCCCGCTGCTCCTGCCGCGGCCGCTGCAGCCGCTTCTCCCCCTCCTCCTAGTGCCTCAAACTCGGAACCGGTTGAAACCGGTTCAGACTGGGAGATTCCATCTCGGTTGAGTTTTCAGCCCATGGCGCCGCGGAGCGTTTGGAACCTGGGCCTCCGCCCCCAGCCCGCCCTCCTATTGGTCAGTTCCAGCTACAGCCGCGCCATGAGCCTATCTCTCATTGGCCTGAGCGCCAGTCAATCCCACCTCAAGGCTCCACACGAGCCCGCCGCTTCGGCCCCCGCCTCTTTTCAGCAGCGATTTGCCCGCAGAGTGGGGGAGGGGAAGTGGGGAGGGTCGAAAGGCAAGAGGAGAGGGGTGGAGGAGGAGGAGGTGGGACGAAGAGCAGGGCTGAGTAGAAAAGAGAGCGAAGGAAAGCCGCGTGGAGGATTCGTTCGAACGAGCTGTCAATCAAGTGCAGCCCGCCCTCGAGCTCTCGACTTCCCTTCCCCCTGCGGCCCTCACCCTCCCAGTGCCTAGTTCGCAGGCCCGGCCTTTCCCGCCCGCTCATTGGCTGGGCGCCTTCGGTGACGGAGAGGGTGGGGCGCAGCTCGTGAGCTAGTGGCGGCGCGAGTTTGATCGCGGCGCGCGGCGGTGTTCGATCTGCTTCCCGGACTCGGCCGGCCCGCCCCCACCGGCTCCCGCCAACCTGCGGGGGCCTGAGCCCGCGGGAATTAGGATCCGCCCCTCAGATGGGGGATGCGTTCGGAAAAGGGATGGCACACCCAGTTGTTTTGAACTCTCGGAGGGGTGGAGAAAGGAGGGAAAGGAACACTTCCGAGGCCAATTGTAGGCCCCAGACCTCTAATCCATTTTAGAGGCCTGGGTTGGGCCAGGTAGCTGAGAGAGAGGTTGGGGTGAGGCGCAGGGCGTGCATTCTTGGCGCCTCGTGATCTTCTCAGGGTCTCGGAAAATATATCGAAATACTTCTTGGGAAAGTCTTAAAATTTCAACTCTGCCTCCCCAGGCTGGAATTTGGCCGCTTCGACAACCAACCTTTCCTGAAAGCCAAAACATTGTAATCCCAGGTTATTGGTTTGACAGCGCATGTTTTGGCTGGGTGAGCTTGCATGCCAACTGCGTCCCACCTGGTGCCCTTGATCTGCAACACTCAGATTTTCCTTTCACCCTAGCGGCACTTCACATACTAAATCATCACCAAATAGTATTTTCTGTGAAAGTCACATGCACGTTGTCTTTCACGTGGTTGCGTCTCTTGTTTGTTCCCAAGCGTCCTCCAAATCAGCTTTACAGATTGTTCTTTGCTTAAGAGCAAATAGCCCACCAAAATTTACTAGGCCCTTTGTGCCACCAAGAGGTAGATAAATGGTTTATTGAAGTAATACAATTTTCTTTCTTTTTTTTTTTTTTTTTTTTTTTTTTTTTTTGAGACAGAGTCTCGCTCTGTCACCCGGGCTGGAGTGCAGTGGCCGGATCTCAGCTCACTGCAAGCTCCGCCACCCGGGTTCACGCCATTCTCCTGCCTCAGCCTCCTGAGTAGCTGGGACTACAGGCGCCCGCCACCTCGCCCGGCTAATTTTTTTTTGTAGTTTTTAGTAGAGACGGGGTTTCACCGTGTTAGCCAGGATGGTCTCGATCTCCTGACCTCGTGATCCGCCCATCTCGGCCTCCCAAAGTGCTGGGATTACAGGCTTGAGCCACCGCGCCCGGCCTGAAGTAATACAATTTTCTTTAGCAAATGTTCGTTCACGATGGACTATGACTAACTTCAAAGCACCACTTATTCTAACTCCCCCTCCAATAAAGAAAAACCCAACAACTCAATGTTTAGATGCACCAGAATGATTTTGGATGATTTTCAGACCTAAGTTTTTATTCATTACATAAATGAATAATATCAAGCCATTTTATATACATATATACATACATATATAAAGTACTATGTATGATATGTGATGTACAGTTGGCCCTCTATCCGTGGGTTCCCCATCCTCAATTTCAACCAGCCCTGGGTGGAAAATATTTTTAAAATAATACAATAAAAATAATACAAAATAAAACGCAATGCAGTATATTTATATAGCATTTACATTGTATAAGGCATTATAAGCAATGTAGAGATGATTTAAAGTTTACATCATATAAGCTATTATAAGCAATCTAGAGACTGAAGTGTAACGGGAAGTTTACAAATACAGTATATGCAAATACAGTAAATCCTCACTTAACATGGTCATGGAGAGGATCTTGGAAACTGCCACTTTAAACACAAGGATAGGCCAGGCATGGTGGTTCATGCCTGTAATCCCAGCACTTTGGGAGGCGGAGCTCGGCAGGTCACTTGAGGTCAGGAGTTCGAGACCAGCCTGGCCAACATGGTGAAACCCCTCTCTACTGAAGATACAAAAATTAACCTGGCGTGGTGGTGGGTACTTGTAATCCCAGCTACTCGGGAGGTTAAGGCAGGAGAATGGCTGGAACCTGGGAGGCAGAGGCTGCAGTGAGCCAAGATCACGCTACCGCAGTTCAGCCTGGGCAACAGAATGGGACTCCTCAAAACAAACAACAAAAAAACCGTAGAAGGACATATAACAAAATCAATTTTACCATAGGCCTGTAATCCCAGCATTTTGGGAGGCCAAGGTGGGAGGATCGCTTGAGCCCAGAAGTTCAAGACCAGCCTGGGCAACATGGCAAAATGTGGTCTCTACCAAAAATACAATAATTAGCTGGGCATAGTGGCATGCGCCTGTAATCTCAGCTACTTAGGAGGCTGAGGTGAAAGGATCACTTGAACCCGAGAGTTTGAGGCTGCGTGAGCTGTGATGATGCCATCATGCCACTGTACACTCCAGCCTGGGTGACAGAGCGAGACCCTGTCTCAAAAAAAAATTACCAATCTAACGCCGGCAAAAGTATGATTGTGTATGATGCTAAAACAGGGTGAGAGAGAAAGGATCTCTCTTTTTTTTTTTTTTTTTTTTTGGAAAAAGTGTCTCACTGTGTCTCTCCCAGGCTGAAAGGATCCTCCCTGACTCAGCCATCTGAGTAGCTGGGACTATAGACACATGCCAACATGCCTAGCTAGTTTTGTGTGTATATATATGTGTGTGTGTATTTTTTTTTTGTAGAAAAGGGGTTTTCCCATGTCACCCAGGCTGATCTCAAACTCCTGTAGGCAAGCGATCCTCCTGCTTCAGCCTCACAAAGTGCTGGGATTATAGGCCTGAGCCACCTTGCCCAGACAGGATACTCATTTCAAGAAAAACTTGACCTGGGAAGATAAAGTCTGGGTTGCACCCCTATTTCTATCAAGCTCAATTTAGTGTGGAGAATGTTTATAGAAAATTATGAGTATTCTGTCAGTGAATAATCTACGTACAGTCTGTGAAGCCTCAAGTCAGTCAGGAGCAGAATCAGCAGTTGCCTGCAGGTGAGTTGCTGCCTTTTGAGAACATAGTGAAAAAGTATGTGACAAGGCTGCTAAATCTAGGAGATACAGTTTGATAGTCTGAGAAATCTGTACAGTTCTTCTACGAGGTGACATTCAACAATGGATCCCAAGATTCTCTTACTCATGGAGAAATGAGATAAGTATATCACTTAACTTGGACCATTCTCAGACAGGACGGAGGAAGCTATAGCTGTTTTGTTTGAAGTACTTCTAGGCCAAAAATAAAAATAATGACATGGGGTTATATGTCTGCTGCAACTGTCAGTTTAGGCTGCTGTAACAAAGTCCCATAGTCTGGGTGGCTTAAACAACATTGATTTCTCACAATTCTGGAGGCTGGAAGTGTGAGGCCAGAGTGTCAGCATGGTTTAGGTTCTGGCAAAGGCCCTTTTCAGGGTTGCAGACCGGTGACTTCTTCCTATACTTTCTTGTGAAGGGGAAAAAATTGGCTAGAGAGCTTTCTGGGGTCTCTTTTATAAAAGAGCGCTAATCTCATTCATGAGGACCCCACCCCCATGATCTACTGATCTCCCAAAGGCCATATCTCCTAATACCATCACATTAGGGTTTAGGATTTCAACATAATAGTTTTCAGGGGACACAAACATTCAGTCCATTGCAATATATAAGAAGCAAAATAGAGTAGGTAAACTAAAATTGGTACCTGTGGGTTGAAAAGATACGCCATTTCTTTCTTGCACAAAAACATCTCATTATGGGCCAGGCATGGTGGTGGCTCAGGCCTGTAATCCCAGCACTTTGGGAGGCCAAGGCGGGTGGCTCACGAGGTCAGGAGTTCAAGACCATCCTGGCCAACATGGTGAAACCCTGTCTCTACTAAAAATACAAAAATTAGCTGGGCGTGGTGGTGCGTGCCTGTAATCCCAGCTACTCGGGACGCTGAGGCAGGAGAATCGCTTGAACCAGGGAGTCAGAGGTTGCAGTAAGCTGAGATCATGCCACTGCACTGCGGCCCAGTGACGGAGTGAGACTCTGTCTCAAAAAATAATAATAATAAAATAAATTAAAAAAAAAAAATGAGCTGGGTGAGGTGGCTCAGGCCTGTGATCCCAGGACTTTGGGAGGCTGAGGCGGGCAGATTACCTGAGGTCAGAAGTTTGAGACCAGCCTGGCCAACATGGTGAAATCCCATCTCTACAAAAATACAAAAAATTAGCCAGATGTGGTGGCACACACCTGTAATATCAGTGCTTTGGGACACTATTATGGGAGAATCACTTGAGGCCAGGAGTTCAAGACAAGCCTGGGCAACATAAATAAGACTTTGGCTCTATAAAACTAAAAAAAATTAATCCAGGCATGATGACGCATACCTGTGTCTTAGCTACTCGAGGCTGAGGCGGGGGGATCCCCTGAGCTCAGGAGTCAGGCTACGATGAGCTATGATCAAGCCACTGCACTCCAGCCTGTGCAGCAGAGCAAGACTGTTTTTAAAAAAAAGAAAAATGGTATAGGGAGTCATGGAAAAATGTGAAAAATAAAAGAAAAAAAGAGAAAAATCAGAAAAAACCCTGTCTTATCAGGTGCTCTGACTAGAAAAAAATGAAGAATCTACAGCAAAGTCAGTGAATCTATTTCAGTAGTTCTCAAAGTGAGGGCAGTTCCCCCCCGCCCAAGACATTTAGCAATTAAGTGTTGTCTATCAAAACAACACTGTCAGCTAATGTCAGAATCAGAGCACACTACAGGTAGATCAGAAGGTGAAGTATATCAGAAGTATAATAACAGCTAACATGGAAACACTTTTGGTTCTTGCAACTGGTTGGGGAGGGGGTGCCATAGACATCTAGTGGCAGAGGCCAGGAGTGCTGTGAAACATATTGCAATGCACAGGATAGCCCCCTATATCAAAGAATGAGAAGCCTACATGTCAATATGCAGAGATTGAGAAACCCTGATCTATTTATAAATATTTTAAATTATCCTAGCCCAATAAAGGGGAGAAGAGAGAGCGAGAGAAAACGAGTACATGAGCAAGTACATTGTACCTCAACAAGGTCAGTGCTTCTTTTATTTTTATTTTTATATATTTATTTTTGAGGCAGGGGCTCGTTCTGTCACCCAGGCTGGAGTACAGTGGCATAATCACGATTCACTGAAGCCTCAACCTCCCTGGCTCCAAGTGGTCCTCCTGC